TATACCATATGATTAATATATATAATTATTGTGCTGTAAATGAATATATATACATTTATTTATACTTATAGTAAAGGTATATTTATAGCAAAGTTGTTCTAAAACTTTTATCAGCTGGCCGAGTTAACCATTTTGTTTTATAAAGCTGGCTTTCTCGTCCATGGAGGACGGTAGTTTCGATCGTGCTCAAGCCCTACCGACGCCCCTTTGCCCACCCGCCGGGGATCGAGAACGGATCGATCGCAGCCACTGGCAACGCATTGCCACCAGGCTAGACTGCCAAAGCGCTAGTGGAGCATGGGGGCCAAATGGGTTGCCTGCGGAGATAGGTTTCACCCACTCACGTTTTGCAGGCAATCGGCCATCAAAAGTTAAAGTTGTCCTGAAAATCTGCCGAGACGAAACAGGGTATAGTTACCTATGCCCAAACGATACAAATACGGCCTGTTCTCCATTGCTCTGTTCTGATTACCCAGAAGAACACCGTTCCCATATCCACAACTTGGGTCTGGCGTGTGTAGGAGGAGAAAAAACAAGCGAAACTAATCAAAGTGTCAAGGTTTCCAAGTCCAGGAAACGACGTCCCAATATTCACAAATTCTAATACATCGTTCCCAGGAGAGGCATAATCTGGACCAGACTTCTCTTCCAAATTGACTATCGCATATTGCGATCATTCAGAATCAAACGGTTTCTTCATTTTCCTCAATTTGACAATAGAAGATAGTTGTGAATCAAATGTATGCTTTAGTCGGTTGCTTTTTCGTGGCCGAATCCGGTTAAAGGGGATCCCAGATCATATCTGAGCGCAAGAAAATTCACTTGGAAACCAAGAAAGGATTTAATCCCGCTCTCAAGATACCTGTTGCATATGAAAGTAGTCCGGGGACTTTTGTGGGCCAGATGGACTCTAGAAGGACAGGTTATGACAGGGGGTTTCAAAAGCTGATGTACATGCGCACAAGCTTACATCTCATCATCTCAACTAGAAGTGTTCATGGACTTAGGAAGTGTTAGTCTTAGTTTTGCTAAGTGATTAGACCGTAGTGACCCGAGCCTGAAATTGGGCTTTTTTAATCATGCTGATTTAGGTTGGTATTGTGTATAGTTATTAGCATACACGAACACGCAGACACACAAACACAAACACAGTCAAGTAAAAGTAGCATTACCATAACGAAAGATGATTAGTAAAACTATCATATATCTAGTTATGCCCGTATATTTTCGTTTTTTAGTTCTGAGTACATATAATAGGTAAGGTAAAGCCAGAAAGTCTTCTTAACTTGAGACTTTCACAAGAATAAATACTAGATCTGATGATGTCTGTAATGTGGTGAACGAGAGCTGAGTCCATTTTCTCCCGTAACGATGGAAGATGTTTCGTGGACTACACCAACTTGCACGTCATATTAAAGCCAAATGGCTGCAGTACCTCCAGCCTCCGTCTTCTGATGAGATCAACCTACGAATCCCGTCATCAAGCACCTTCATGCGAAACGAATTTCTCCCCAACAATATTTACTCTGAGACACGAATCTCGGCCAAATGCCCTTTTTGCTTATTAGAGACTGTGTCCAAGCGTAGTGACTCGGTGCTCGGCATTGCAAAGTCAATTAAAGAGAGGAGAGAGTAAAGCTCTGTCGACGAGTTATTCTGGAGTCGCTTCAGTGGAGTACAGCAGCTTTGATGCCCATATTTGATCCAGCCCAAATGAACTTAGAGTTGATGAATCCAGATCGCGGTTGGTAATGTGGGAGGCGTTAGCAAAGGTCCTGAGAAGTCCGATATAGAAACAATGCCATGCTCGAATACATAAAGATGAAAACAATATTGTTGATGCCTCGAAATCCTCCTTATAAACGAAAAACTATTTAGTAACCTGAGATGTATTTATCATATTTAGCTTAAGCTAATGAAGGACTGATAGTTGAATTTTCACACAACCATATAAGTAGACCTTAGAGTTTCATTGAATTTTACATAACTTTGCTTTCCAGGCAGGGGTGGACTGCAGTTTCGATTGCTCAGACCTCATCACCTCTCTTTGCGGGACTCGAATCATGATAATGCAGCGTATGATCTTGAAACGTGAGATTAAATAGAACTGTAAAGTTCACTCATACGATTGTGGGAAAATTCAAATGAGCGCATTTAATGTCTGATTTACTGGTAGTTTCGAAAACATACTTACAAATGAATAATAGAGTATGCTCGAAGGTATGAAGACCAAGATTGTGTGGGAATAAACCACGTCCACGGTCCGAATTTGGAAATGATCATGCAGACAATGGACTTCGGACAAGGTGCGTTCCTCTAAGTCTTCCTACCAATATGACCAAGTTACGAAAAGAAGGTCAAACAACTTCTATATAGTATGCTGTTTTATCTATTTTAGTTGGGTAAAACCGCTTTCATTATCCACTCTTCGTTTGCACTCGCGTCATCAAGGATTTGGTTGAGTAAATGCCCGGAACTTTGCGCGAAATCGGGAGTAAAATTAATCCCTTTGTTTAGACATATCCATTGAGATAAATTTATGCGGTAATCTAAATTCCGTGTGAAGTGCCTGCTGGAGAGCTTTATAGATCCGACTTATGATAAGACGACGGACAATTGTCGCTACTCTACATTAATTTGAGGTTACCATAACGTTCGGGGTGATGCATACCATAGAACCCCCTACTTCTATTCAAGAAGAAGGGGACTAAGATTTCGCCGGTCAAATTAATCAAGAAATCTCCTCAGAGGTTAATCTCATCCTTGCAAAAGCGTGAAGCTAATACAAATTAAGAAGATTAGTTGGAGATACTTACTGATTTGGTTAGTTTTTTTAATTTATATATATGCACATGTATGGCTAAGTGAATATATAGGTGAGGAAGGAGTTAGGTGTGTAAGTCAGATTGCAAATCATAAGTCTTAAATATGAATAAAAAGAGGATTTCGATTTATCTCCTGAGAGAAAATTATTGTGAAGACTAGCACTTCATATGAAAATGTATGATGAAGAGGCTAGTGGGTCGACCTCACCAGAAGACAACAAGTGATTTCCGCTGTACTGCAGTCGCTTAACTTTGATACCATTTTCAGATTTACGCAGTCCTCAAGACATCCTACTTAGCTTTGAGGGAAAACGAGCTGAACTTTCGTCCATCATATGACGCAATTTATCATAGCTGGGACTCATTCTCACAAGGGTCTCAAGCTAACATTAAGTCAGGAAGACTCAAAGGTTCTTTCCTACTTAATATATACATATACATATACATATATATATATATATACTCCCAACACTAAATTTTGTAAAGATATAAATGGATATAGAAAAGTCTGGTTAATTCTCTTCAACTTGTGTATTTTTGTGAATATATGTGTGCGTGTGTGTGCGCACATGTAGGTTAACTTCGGTACAAAAAAAGCGGCCATAGGCTAGATTCATTTATACAATGGCTGGCGTGAACTTCTGGTCGTCGAGGCTTAATGACCCAAGGAATAAGCGTTATTCCGTTGAATTGGTGACATGTAAGTCTGTACACGTGAAAAATAGGTTACGAAATCACCTGTCATAACCTGCAAGTTTGGGTTCATCAGGGTACGATGACCCAAATACGTGCATGGCTGGAATTGCGTAGTCTCGCATGCGTATTTTGGTTGATGAACTTGGTATGCCCGTTGAACAAGTTTTAATTCAGTTAGAACCATTACTCATTTGACAAGTAGAGTCGTCTTCTTTAGCATGGCGGCTCAACGCCCTCTCTATTTCAATCTTTCAATCAAGCATAAGTAATTCTTACTTAGCTTTCTACCACCACTCCTCACGTTGAATGTATTCCCTAATCTGTTAATTGCGATATCCTCTTTTATCGTGTTCTTAGTAACAGACATACCATAGTCACTAAATCTCTGCTTCCGAGACTATTATAGCTCATCTCCAGTCTCCGTCCTGTGCTCAACCATTTGCAAGAATTTTTCTGCTTCGCTAATATTTGCCAGTTCGGCCGACATATCTCAGCAATATAAAGTCGAGCACATGAACACGTAATCTTGTAACAATCGGGTCTTGATAATGGGTCATATTTATCTCTAAAAAAAGGAATAACCGAAGAAAGTGTTAGAGTTTCTTTGTAAAATTGTCTTTAATTCCCAACTTCTCACTATTTCTCCTATCTTTTTGGAAAGAAAATATGACGGCTAAATTAGAACATGAGAAAGGTTCTCGACTTGCCTACTTCTGACTAAATAGAATCCGTCTGAAGATGTATTCCTCATTAAAGATAGATTATTATCAATTAAGCCCAAAGGATAATTATTCCTCAGGAATAAAACTTTCATTTTTTTAACACTTCTGTCAGGTGATTTTCGTCCACAAGCCTCATAGATTTTGAAATTCCAACCTTAGCTTGTAAGTGAGAACAAAATCAGCATATGCTAGTTTCCTACAAACATCTCTGCCTAACTTACCATCTGCACTAGCAACCATAACATTAAAACAAATTAATCTCCTATTTTCTTCTAATTCAATTGTGAACTTAATAATTCTTTCAAGCTGGCTAATTGAAAGTAGAAAACTATCTAAACTGTTCTTGCCATGCTGCCAAATACAAAATACTTCTCTTATTCCCCATAACTGGCGCATAACTTGATATCATCTCTTAGCTTAATTAAAGTTCCTCTGTAGGAAATTACATTAAAGTGAACTAGCCTTTTCTCTAAAGAACTTGACTGCCAGTGCTCCAGCTTTGTCGGCGATGTCTTCTTTTCGAGAGAAATATGACCAATTATCAAGATCCTGCTGTTACAAAATTGTGTACTTTTGTGCTCGACCGTATGTTGGTAAGACATGCCGGCTTATCCGTTAAAGATTAGCAAAGCACAAAAGGAAACTGGGTCGAACGGTCAGAAGTGGCTGATTACAGGGCGGAGACTGGACATGGACACAGAGGTTTGCTGATTATTGTATGTCTGCTACGAGACACAAGATATGAGAGACTAGTGAAATTAATAGATTAGGCAATACGTTGAATGTGAGGGATGGTGGTAGGAAATTGAATAAGAATTACTTACGCTTGATTGAAAGATTAAAAAAGAGAGATGGTGATAAGTGGCTGTCCAAAAGAAGACGACTCAACTTGTCAACTATGTGATGGTTCTAGCCGAATTCACACTCGCTCAACGGGCATGCCAAGTTCATCAACCAAAATAGGATCATTAAACCCCAATGAGCCCAGACTTACAGGTTATGACTGGTGATTTCGTAATCTAACTTTCACGTGTATAGGCTTGATGTGAAGACTTTCATTTAGTATGAAAGGGGGTCAATCTCACTAGGAACAGTTGGCTGATTTGCGTTGTACTGAAACCGTTTTTCATTAAAACGGCATTCAAGTTAATGCAGTCTACGAGATATCCTCCAAAGTTTCGGGCGAAGACGGGCTGACATTTCGTTTGTCGTTTGACAAACATCGTCAGAGCTGGGAGTCATTCTTGTAAAAGCCTCAAAGTTAATATCAAGTCAAGAAGACTGTCCGGCTTTATCTTACATCTTGAGCTTATATCCATTTCGAGTGAAAGTATTAGGTAAAGAGATTCGAAAGTCTATCC